CATTATGTAGAAGTTACAATCACTCACCATTCTTTCAGAAAATTCCAACGCTTCTTCCGCTACATGATGTAAATCGTTTTCCCAAACTAGTCGATTACCGAATACGTCAGTCAATACAGTCATCAGTGATAGCGCCTTAAAACAAGCAAGAAATATCAAAGAGATTACAGCTATTTCAAAGGACCTTCTTCAAAGCATTAAAATATCGATAATGGTTCTGAATACTACCTACGGAGAACAAAACATCATATGAATGAAACTGGTTACGGCTTGCTAGTAGGGCGAGCCGTGGCTTCTGCGGGGTAATGGTAATTCACCTGCCCGGGAGGGACGAGATCTGAATTCGAATCCGCTGTGACTAAAGTTTAACCCAATTCAGCGCCCTTGCAAAAGCGCTCGCACCGCAATCTATGGCAAAAAGATCAGTCACACAAGTCAATAGCCGGTTACACAACAAAAATTCCGCCTTTCGCCAGCCCCTAATGATTTGAACGGCAAAAAGGCCGAATTGCTGAACATCTCAGGAATTATTAACTGCCTGCGGACATTGAAGATTAAGTACTACAAGATACCAAGCACAAAAATTGAAAAACAAGTTTCCAAATCCATAAATACATAAGGAATATGCAACCGACCTCCTCAGCAATATCACCCCGTTTGGGTGAAACGTACAGCTTCATACACTTTTGCATGAGTATCGACGCATTTTGAGTGGTTATCATCCGGGCAGCAGCATCTGCCATTCGACGTGGGTCGAAATGACGAGTCAGAAGGCATGCCAGCAGGTGATCATCATCATCTTTCACGCCATCCTCGGACGACTCACTGCAATGTCATAAAAACATCACAAAGATATCCAGTTTATAGCATAGCTGACCATACCAATCCCATCTATTCCCAGGTAAATGAAATTCAGTATGAAGCAGAATTTGTATTTTCACAACAGGGGCTGTCCTTTTTCGACAGAAACCGCACAATGTCAGTCTAAGAAATTGATCTGACGACAAATTCTGCTCACTGACTGAATGAGCATTCTGCCTAGGATAGTTTCTTCCAGTGTGTGTGTACATATTGCAACTGTCATCCCTTCATAACCCTTCTAAGAATCCTGCCAGTCAAAATCTTCAGCTGAGAACAACTACACTTACAGAGAGTCGAAGAAGGACTGCAGAAAAAGGTGATTCTTGAGTAGCCTCATCAAAAAGGAGCTCAGATTTTCTACGTAAAGGGTAATTCACTTTGAAGGGAGCTTTCAAATTAATTCATACGTGAAGCGTCAAGCATGGATGTAACCAGGGCGCAGCAATAAAAGGAAAATCCGAACCAAAATAATCTGAAGCCTTCAAAAGAGTGCCAACCTTCAATTTATCACTTTCTGGGGAGACATTAAATTTCAATATATTTACGAAAAAGTAAAGCAACAGCGACAAAAAAAACAACCCGAGAGTTGAACGATCAGAATAAAAAGGAATGCAGCTGAAAACACACCTGGCTACGAAATTTAACAACACTGCAAGACATTGTTCAGACAGCGCATCACTGGACTCAATGGCTGAGCGAACCAGGCCGATTTGATCCAATTTCAAACACAATTCATAGAAAGACGCCAAACAACTAAAAGAAGATTACGGCGGGTTATGCAGGAGATCCTCGATCTAGTGAAATCCACACGACAAAATACTGCGAAAGCAGAAAATCCTAGCCGTCAACATTAAGACAGCTGAATTCACTAACTATGACCTATATTACATGAAAAAAATCATAATCGCTTCTCTTCTGATCACTTGTACCCGCATATTAGTCCTCAGTTCTTTTGAACTGAATGACTGAGATGGTAAGAAGTGTAGAATGACTGCCTGTTCATCTCTCGTTAAGAAACCATCCGCATCCGCACCCTTTGCCGATAGGCATTTAAACGCATGCTTCCACGTCCCGTCTGCCAACTGAACAAGTAAAAAGTGACCCCTCAAAAATAATAAAAAAAGCACCCCAAGATAATACTTGCCAAGTGAATTACATAAACAAAATTATAAACAGAATTAATATAATTAGTTAGAGCTAGAAAACATACGGGTTCCTTCACAAAGTTCTTCAAAGCATCGTGAAGCTTCTTCTGACTAGTATCTTCCACTGGGCATGGTGGATTTGAAAAGCTTGAAAATCGTTTCGGAGTACTTGTTTGCCGTCGGTTAGCAATTACCTCACGAAGTCTAGAGATACTGAAAGCAACCCCCTCATAAATATCATCGAGACGAAACAAAGCGCACGGGAAACTAACCGTAACGGGACTGTAGCAAAAGTGGCGTTGTTCGTCAACCTCACACACTCTTCCGAATCAAGGTATTTGATCTGAATAGCAATGGTGAAACTGAAGCGTGTAAAAACAGGGAAACTTCAAGAAGGAGAGATGCGGGTTCCACTGGGCATGGTGGATTTGAAAAGCTTGAAAATCGTTTCGGAGTACTTGTTTGCCGTCGGTTAGCAATTACCTCACGAAGTCTAGAGATACTGAAAGCAACCCCCTCATAAATATCATCGAGACGAAACAAAGCGCACGGGAAACTAACCGTAACGGGACTGTAGCAAAAGTGGCGTTGTTCGTCAACCTCACACACTCTTCCGAATCAAGGTATTTGATCTGAATAGCAATGGTGAAACTGAAGCGTGTAAACACAGGGAAACTTCAAGAAGGAGAGATGCGGGTTCCACTGCGCATGAGAACTGATATTTACCCATAACCGATCATCCTTGTGATAAGTATAATTCTGGATGCTCACAGATTGAGACTCCCACGTTTCACGCGCGATGAGGGGTTATAGGAGACGAAAGCAGTAAGACGCTTGAACTTGAGTTGCTAAAGTCCTACCCCACCACAAGGAAGATGAGAAGACTAGGCGAAATTAAAAATGGATGTAATGAGAGGAAGATCATGATAACAGTAGGTTATTAGAATAGTTGACTAGATATTCCGCTGAAAAGAATAGATAAGTATGGAGGAAACTATTGGGAATCTGCGGCAACAAATCTTCCAGCCTAAGTAGCCTGGTAAGATTGCCATTGGAAAATATTGTCGACAATGCGGCTAGGCTTGCAATAAATGATAATGGTCGACTTAGTTTGTGCATACTTTCTACAGTGGGTGCTTTAGTGAAGTGGCAGTAAAAGCATTTTTAGTAAAACCTGTTATATTCAGACGGAAAAGGCTGACTTTTGTTTGGCATAGCTAGCACAGTGACACAATTTTTTGCTGGAAGAAAGCCGAATCCAAGTCATTTAACGGATTTGGTACGAAAAAAATGAGAGTTTTCGAGCGTATTTCGAAATTTCTCTTCGGCTGATTCACGCTTGGTTCAACGACAGTCACTGGAGGTTTAAAATAAGCGACGCCCTAACAGCTTCCTTGTTAAGCTCCCTCAGTTTGGCATAGTTGCTGGGACGTATGCGCTGCAGTACTAGGACGCATTTCTTTCCAAAACGAAAATCGCATTGCCGTCAACAATATGCAGTGGTGAGGTTAATCAATCCAGAAATAATTTCCAAGTCGATTCAAATTCACATCAATGCAGTCCTTCATCCGGCCAATAAGAATGGACATAACGATGTTTTGCCCCGTTCATGAATTAGTTGGAAGGTACTTAATTTTGAACTGCTGAAAGATTTGCGCCCTTTGAACCAACCTGCACAGTATATAAGAATTTTACCGAATAAACACGTCTGTACATAACAGCGCTGAAAGACAACAACAAATGAAATAAATTCACCTCGCACGGATCGGGCTCCCCATCTGGCCACGGCACTTTGATTTCTGATAGTAGTTCGCCGTCGGGATCTTTTAGTCGTAAAAGGACGTCTTTTCGACCTAAATGGTTTGATGTTGCTAATGTCACTCGCTCTACAACACTCAATTTTGAGACTTTTCAGTTCAACTAAAACGCCGCGAGCACCGGGAGTTATGCTTATAATCGGACGCAATGATGTGTGTAAGTCGTTCCGTTCTAGCGTCATACTAGCCAAAAA